ATGAGCCACAATGTCGACATCCTCAACATCCTTCCTGATCATAGTCCAGACCTCCAACCTTCTCATATAATCCTCGAAAACATCAAAATCTGAGCGCATATCCAACTGTTCCATCACAGGCTCCATCGCGACAACAATGTGATAGTGGGCATTATCTGAATTTTCACATGAGCTAGGAACCCCAGAAATAGCTTAATTCAACCAAGAAGAAATAAGTACGCACAAATGAACAAAGAGAATGGAGAAAGTGGTGTTTTAACAGATAATGTGGCATGAGGCATGTTTGTTCCGAGTTTCTCAAACTTAAATAAACGTATAACTGCTACTGGTAATGATCAGCTGAGGTCTTTAATGAGTATATACGTCTTTGTTACGAATAATTCTGACATAATGACTGTTAGGTTTTGTTAAACTGGGCTTCCAGCGTTCCCATATCATCAACTATGTTTTCACTTTCCTTAAATTCTGGGTCATGTGGTTGTATGAAGACATTTCGATGTTTATCAGTGGAATTCGGCAGAATAGATTTATAGGTTCTTCCCAACCACTCTATAGACAAGGCAACTTCAAGACTACTGTATATGTTGATATGACTTTGTAGTACCTACTTTTGTCAACAGAACGCGATTGGTTTAATGAAAGCAATTATTATTATACCAGTGATTGTTTTATTGTGCTCGTTTGTTTAAATGTGCTAATGATAGCCATTTTGCCCTTCCATTGGCCTCCATTACTTCTGAGTGGTTTGTGACTCTGTACGCACGTACTCCTTAATGTCAATTCTACTTGTACCATCTTGGCACGATCTTAGTATTCGTTCGATACCACGAGATCGCCAATGAATAAACTTGGTTACAATCTATTATCGCCTTCTGACTTATTTGGTACGCACTCAACTTGTAGTGGTGTACATAGTCAATGGCGACTCGACTCCACGCTACAACCTATAATCTTGTGTGTTGTTTATATGGACTAATGATTCATTTTTTACTTAATGACTGCTTTGTTTCCAATTCTAAATACAATACGTCCGTTTGTGTCGAGATACTTCTTCTTGGTTGAATTAAGCTATTTCTGGGGTTCCTAGCTCATGTGAAAATTCAGATAATGCCCACTATCACATTGTTGTCGCGATGGAGCCTGTGATGGAACAGTTGGATATGCGCTCAGATTTTGATGTTTTCGAGGATTATATGAGAAGGTTGGAGGTCTGGACTATGATCAGGAAGGATGTTGAGGATGTCGACATTGTGGCTCATTCCTTACATTCATCAAAAAAGAAGCCTCCAGATTATTGAAAACATTGACATTCCTAAATAAGCCCATCTCACTTCTTTTTGGAACTCCCAAATAATTACTGTTAAATCCTGTAAAGTGTGCTGGTTCAGAATACCGTGAAAGAGCGAAATTTTAGAGAATAATCCGTCGGGAAGCCAGGAATTCCACTACATCAGATACTTATCCCGTTCCAATGCAAACTCCAGGTCATGAAAATAACGATTCATTGAGTTGTGATCTACTTCACGAAGATGAACACAAGTTTATCACTATTATTATTATTATTTAGCATGTGTTTGTTCTCTCACAAATTTCACTTGCTTAATTCATTGGCATTTCGTAGTGACGAATGCTTTAAATATGGTAAGACAGAATATATCCAGTCAGTTTTTAATACTACTGTTCATTTAGCTGCAAGTAATGCTAAACATTGTGATTACGATCCCATTAAGTTGAGTATTATTAATGATCATTAATCTTTATCCACGATTTTGAAATGCAGTTCACAATTAAATAAAGCCTTGTTAGCCTCGTATAACTGTGAAACTGTACTTCAGCCAAAACAAAAGTGTACTTCACGTAATATGTGTCGAGGAGGCTGGAGAGACTCGTATTCAGAAAATAATCGGAGCAATACAATGAATTAAAGTTCATGGAATAAAGGTCAGGATCATTGTGAGACAAAAGTTTCTAGCCATGGAACTTTTTATAGGATTTCTCGTATTACTTTATTAAATGTCGTTTGTCTTAATGATTTACGTATTTCTGATAAGATTTCTTACAAATCTGATGAAAATAGATGGAATGAATCAAGTCAAGAAGAAAATTGTGGTGCAGTCTTGATAGGATAGTGTTGAAAAATCTATGGTTCGAATTTTAGATTCAAGTAGACATAACAGGCATGCTGATGAAAAACAACTCCTCGTCAAATCGTATCACGTGAAGTCGGTAGGAAGTAGGAACTATTGAAGCACACGGAGACAAATTTTGAACAAATTGGATGCTGAGATTAAGACGCAAATTAGTCATATGAAGAGAAACGAGTACAAAAATATTAGGCAAACTTATCTTCACAGATAAATAAGCATAACGTTTAATACATGCATAACCCTGGTCTAAGGAGTCTTTTGCACTTCGCGCTTTTCCTCTAGTATTTAAGTCAGCGTGTATATTCAGTCTGGGGGTTTTCGGAGCGGATATAAAACAAGACCAATGATTCATTCAACGGAGTTATACATATTTATATACACGTATATATATATATATATATATATATATATATATATATTTGAAAGTCTGAACTGTTTGATTTTCAAAACCACGCCTAATTGAGAATGCTTAAATATAGGTCAAAATCAGTGGAGGTAATTCTGCATTGACTGATAGCAGCCATAATAGCACTTATACTAAGGAGCAAACTGTATTTATCTAGACTATGAGCAATGTAGTATGACTCTATCGCGAAAGAATTTATTGCAGTATATTATGGTGGTAAACTATTGTTCACCATCATTTTTATCCTGGAAGCCTAACTCTACGATAATATCATAATAAAAATCAGACTAGCTGAAGATACCCTGTTAGCTATCATTGAGATATTTCATTACATCAGATAATTCTTCACCCTTCAAAAAAGTTTACCTGGACACCTCATGTTCATCTATTTATAACTTTTTTCTGGCGAAATTTTCGGTCATTATCGTTTTTTCCCTTGTTTGATTCAAGGCTACATAAATGATGGATCTTGATACTAACACAGTCCTATTTTGTCGTACCGAAGATAACGTCACAAATCTTTTGGTTGAACAATACTCTCGAACATTTCAACCGACCAGTATTAACTATATTGGTGGAAGCTTCATCTGCAACTGCACAGGAATTTCTGGTATAAACTGAGCGCCGACTTGGTGTACCGAAAACCACAGCACCTAGGAAAAAGCACACCTCTTTACCCAGATACGGCTCATTCTGCTATATTGAGATAATCGGCTCCAATCCTATCAACATCACTTAGTGTGATGTTCTCAAGCTCGCACACCACCGGATATTTGGAGGCTGGCTCACATTGTGGGGTTCCTAATATGCAACGGTATACACCAATATTTAGTATCCTTGAACTTTTCACCCCAACAGCATGGTTTCAGGAAGGGTAATTCTTGCATAATCAACCTCCTGACTGCGGTGGTTAGATGAACAACCATCCTTGATCGCAAAGGGAACGTTGACGTAATTTACCTTGGTTTCTCAAAAGCTTTCGATAGGGTTAACCATATATGTCTTATCAATAAGCTCAGAAAATTGGGTATCAGACCAACTTTTAATTGATTGGCTCAGTTCATACCTAAAAAATCGACCTTATAAGGTAAGGGTTAACTTCACTTTCCCCCGGGCTATGGAATGTTCTAGTGGGGTCCTCCAGGGCTCAGTACTTGGACCTCTTCTCTTCTTGATTTATATAAATGATCTTCCTCTACAGGTATCGTCAGACTTATCACTTTTTGCCGATGACGTGGAACTTTGGAGAGAGATACGCAACCAAGACGATATACAGGCACATCAGGAGGATCTGACTGGACTTCAAAGTTGGGCAGATGACAACGGACTTGCCTCTAACACTTCAAAGTGTAAAGCAGTCCATCTGCGACATGTCGCGGACCACAGTTACAGCCTGGGAAACTTCTCTCTAGAAGTATCCCGAGTTGAAAAAGATTTGGGAGTCCTGGTGCCCTAGAATTTGAAGTCTTACTCTAAATGTGACAGGAATGCCTTTCGAGCAAACCTTGCACTGGTAACATTGAAGCGCATTTTTGACCACTCTGACGGAAGAACTTTGCACATAATCTTCAACAGTTTCATTCGTCCCCATTTGGAGTACGAAATCATGGTATTTCCTCTCTCACTCCAAAAGGATAAGGACACTCTAGAGCGTATCCAACGGCGAGCGAAGAAATCAATTCGAGAGCTCAAATTCAAGCCTTACGAAGAGCGCCTCCAATCACTAAACCTTTAATCATTAAAGTATAGGCGTTTAGAGGTGACCTTCTAGTGGCCTACAGTATCCCCTTCCACTTAAACACCTACTTAAGTTTAGCTCCAACACAAACCTAAGGGGTGATGTCCAGAAACTAGGGACATAACACAGCAGAACGGACTGTGGACTAACTTCTACTCTTTAAGATCTGTCAAATGCTGGAATTCGCTGCCGGCTGAGCTAATCCAAATAACATCCCAGGAGTTGTTCAAGAGGCAACTTGACCTATTCTTAAGGACCAAGGATAATACATTACTATGATTTACCAATTTCATTTTCCCCTATTATCCTTAATATACCTAGGTTCTTTCCTGATGGTATTGATGATCCACTGCTACTAGACACGGAAGCTCGTTAAGCGAAAGCTTCTATTCCGTCCACAAGCGTTTGAACCATCTGAACATTAACGGCTCAAGATTCGTTACGAAATAAAGTATCACTGAAAAGTACATATCCGGTCGTCAGTAATACTGTGAAAAACATTAAGATAATTTAATCATTCGTTTCTGATTAATTTAAGAGCATATTAACATACGTTCATTATTGCAATTTATTTTGTTTAATCCTTCCACAACTGCACATTATCTTACTCAACACCTTTCAAAAATACTCTACATTTCCATTTCCATCTATTTACTGTGAGAGGTTCGCTTGTCAAGTTACTACTTTAAATTTATTTTTCTACAATAAAATGGATACTCCAGAGTTGACTGAATATGAATCTGCACCAAGTATTCGTGTCCATAAACGTGAGACGAAGCACAGGTAACCAGTATTTTAAAGAAATAATGTGCCACCCTTCAGAATATTTGTCAACCGGAGCTTGCAGCTAGACAAGATAAAGTTTTTTGGATTTGACATGGATTACACTCTAGCACGTAAATTTCATTAATTTTCTTTTCAGAAACAACACACTTCAAACCTATAGAGTATAAATCACCACAATATGAAGAGCTTGCATTTAATATTATAAAAAACCGTCTGATAAAACTTGGCTATCCTCCGAAAACTTCTGATTTTGTTTACGATCCTTCATTCCCACTGAGGTTAGTTGAATCGAGTACTACGTATAGTGTTTGTGATGTTTCTGTGTTGGTAATGTCAGATTTCCTATTCACGTACTGCAATCATATGACTTATCTTGTATTGCATACTCGATTAGGTGAATGTCTGTTATTACAACAAGTCAAAAAGAAAATTTTCTTACATTGATCTCCCTATAGTCCATTTTGTGTGGAGGCAAAATTCGATCCCAGGTATAGTGTATAACGATTGCACAGATTTCTACATTTTTATGGCTGGTTAATTTTTTAGTTTCATTGCTCGATTTAATCTTTGTTTTTCCGAGTCCCATTTAATATTATCTCTCAAAAATGCAATAAGATATATTTTATCGACGTCCGCAACTTTGTTTCATTCATTAGACTTTATGTGTACTCGTAGTTGGATGATAATTACCTTTCTTTTCAGCTGTTGAAACTTTTTGTATTGTCTTGTATTCTAGAGGCCTATGGTTTGATCGGCTTTATGGTACTCTGTTAAAAATGGATCAGTTTGGCAATATTCTTTCATGTTTACGTGGATTTAATTTTATCCAAAGGTAAGTAACCAATTTAAATGTCTTTATAGCTTATAGAGAAGAACTTCGAACAATGTATCCAAATAAGTTTGTAAAGTACGACGAAAAACGAATCGAAATAATGAACACTTTATTCAGTCTTCCAGGTAGGAAAATTCTTTAACCAATTCACCTTTTTAGAGACCTACATACTCTCATGTATAATTCATATGTTCGTCAACGATCCTGATTATATAAAAGTGGAGCATGGCGTCAAAAAAGGCTCTCTGTATATGTCATACGCTTCAATTTATGAAGATGTGAGGACCGCTTGTGATTGGATGCATAGAGTAGGTAAAAGTATAAATTTTTCAAGTATTTCTTTGAATTACTTGTTTTTCGTTTGATTTTAATGATGTTTAATGGTGGATATCTTGTTTGTTTACATTTTCATTTAAATCTATGGCATTCAATAAATCTACCTCTGAGCCAGTTTTTTTCTGGCCTCTTACTAGTTGGTTGTGGACTATCTTACAACCAACCATAGATTTCATCTGGTGCTCGATAGAAATTTGGAAATGCGTATACACATTGAGTAATAATATGTAGTTTTTGGTTTCGTTATAATTTCATTGTCATACGTGGTAGGCTGTATATATGGTTGATGCTTAGGAAATATATATGTTGGTGACTACCTTTCACATTGACTTTGATTATGAGTACAGTGCCTGTGTGAAGTTAAATTGGGATGTGTTAAGTACCCAAGTTCAACTTTCTAATAGAGCGTACTTAAGTGTCATAGTTTTACGAGATTTCCGTTAATAATCATTTTTCTCTTCTGTTTCATTTCAACAATAAATCAAAAGTCATTCAAGATAATTTAGAGTTCTGTCTGTTTATCTGAAAATATAAGATAATTTTGAAATATACTTACAGGTTAGAATTTACTTGGATGAAACTTGATCGATTTAAGTCTCATAACGGCATTCATTTTCGTTATCCTGTCCAAAAATTATTGCATATTTTTTGTGAGTTGTTGAGTCGCACGTCTTATGATTATTTATCGTTACTAATACTGCTACTAGTCCTGTGATATTCGTTTTAATAATTTCATCTTACTGTGTTGATATAATGTGGCAACTTAGGCTGGTGCACATTTGTACTGATTGTTATATCCCAGTGAAGATTAAACTAGAGGTAACTTTAGAGAACTATTAATGGACTAATATTCTATAAATATTCTTATTGTATAATTATTCAAGAATTACATTATGTGTATTTATATTCCGCCTATTATAAGCTTCAATTTGACCCATAGAGTATTAATATACGATTTATTATTCTGGAGTTATGGTCTGTCTATTAATTACTATCTCCCGCGTTCACAGCCACTTTTTGGTTTATTTGTGTACACATATTATTTTCTATTTTATGGGACGTTGTGGTCTGTCTGATTGATATATAAACCGAGTATGTCTGAAATAAACGATTCGATTCATATTACAGAATCTGGCATTGCGTTCTGGAACCAAGCGGACGGGATAGAAGAACATAGGACCAATTAAGGACGCTAGACTGCTCATACCGGTTGAACATCATTGGTTTTGTCATAGTGCGAATATTGTATAAGTCGTATTCTGATTGCTAGATAAGTCACGTGATCGTAAGCCGGACATAAAATCATAACACTGATGACTAGATGACTGACTCGATAATTTAATTTTTCGATCTTGATGATAGTCTAGGATAATTTGATGTATGGTGTACGGATACTTTGACTTACGATGTTAGGTAAATAAGTAGTGCATATGAATCCATGAATTCCCCGAATTAAGCTTATTGTGTGTTATCTTTCTAACGTTTTTGTCTCAATGTCGTTGAGGAATCTTAACGATTCTCATAATATCGGTCCACCTTTTGTCAGTAATTGTAAAATCAGTAGGAAGACGTACACTGGACGATGTTCCAATGAGAACACGCATTTCGAAGCAAAAGTAAGCGTCATGTATTTATTTTCCTTATTGGATTCCCACTTCTATTCTAAAGTCTCATAATCTTCATTCTGTTGATCAATAGCGAAATTTCGGCACATAATGTTTTCCATGTTTTTTTTGTAGATTAATATATTCCATTAGTACATGTGTTTATTGCCGGCTATGAGACACAAAGTAATCGTAAATAATGGTTGGGAGCCTTTTTAAAATAGTTCAAAATCATTTGTTGGTGTGGGTGTGTTCATTGTTTTTCTTCCTTTGGATTTAGATCTTTAGTACTTTCTTTTCTGTCTTTGTTCCTCTTCCTGAAGCTTTTATTCATGTGTTGATGTTGTTTTTAACTACGCGTATTTGGCTTCTGTCGTGTTAATTTTTCGATATTCTGGCACAGTGTGTTGATTTGCGTTGATACAATTCTCATCAGGTCTACATTGTTTGTTTCCCAAATTGTAAATTGTTGTAGTTAAACCCGTCTGAAGTATCTATTAAAGAGCTTCTATCTAAACTTAAACTTCTGACACCAAGTAGTGGATAGGAAAGAGGATAGCTGGATTATCCTCATTCATCTTAACGAATTCTAAGTTATGATTAATTAACTTAGTTCATGAATGTTTCAAATGGCTATAAGATTGGTGAGATATGGATTCTGCCAGACTGAAGTTGTTACTGGGGCAGAAGCTCAAGTTTATCCATTTATTGACAAGTCCGAAGTACACTCTAACCTCACAATTAATTGGAAATAATTAGCTTAGCTCACTAATGTTTCAATTGACTACAATGGGATATTGCTGGTGTAGTTTGATAAAAATATTGCTAAGGTCTTCCTATTAGGTTTAAAATAATGATAGTATTTCTCTATGTGAAATTCGATAATTTTGACTTCATTCTTTAACTGAATTTCCTATCATATTACACTATCATTGAAAAGCATTCCACCCAACTTATCTTGAATAGTTCATCATTATATAAGTGTTCCTCGATAATAGCATTGTGGTTCCAATTCATTGTACAATGAAATTAAGATTCACAATTTACTGTACTTTAATGACACGTACACCCTTTAACTTTTTTGTAAATTTTGTTGCAGGGAGAACTAAAACAGCGTACTTTGGCAAATATTAGTGAATATGTTGAAAGAGATCCACGTTTATGTACTTTGTTAGATCGGTAAATTTATTTCATTCTATCTCATTTATCGTATGCCTAATTTATTATTGAAAAGGATCAGACTTTTTTTAGACAATGAAATATTTCATTCTATTATTTTTTTCGTATTATAGGCTACGAGTGAATGGTGCAAAAGTGTTTTTGTTAACGAACAGTGACTTCGAATACTCTCATGTAAGTTAGTTTTCTCTTTTTTTTACCATGACAAACCAAGTATTAATTATTTTAATGAAATAATAATAGTATTCTGATGTAATTGAGAACTATTGGTTGGTTCTACATCATGTATTTTTATCATTAATTTCCCAATATTTTCAAGTGATGTATCTTAGAATACGAATACAGTGGTCTTGAGTTCTGTTGGAGGTATGATAGCGGTTGCGGTTGACTGATTGACTGATCATAGAGTATAATCGATAAGTTATATGTGGTACATATTTGTCCTTGTTTAATTAAAGAACAATAATTTAATTCGAATTGCTGTTTTCCTTTTGATTTCCAACTAAAAATAGTTAGAAACTGTTTAAATTTCCATTTGATGTACGTTTAATTTATCATTAATCATTAAGAAACAATTCTATAAAATCTCTACAGATTAGTGTTTTACACCTCATTATAGATCAGCCGTTATTTTTCTACCTTAAGATACTTTGATCAACACAGAATACATAAACAGTGTGGTTGTGTTTAATGAAAGCAGTCAGTCAGTCAGCTACAATGTAGGACTAAGCACATATATGCATCGCTCCAAGTTGCCACACCTCATTAGCAAAACAAGATGAACACCAAATTCATAGAAACATTTACTTCAATGGCAGTAATATATAAAAGAAAGATTGTATTTGAGAATATTATACAGGAAAAATGAATTAGTTCGTAGAAGGGAAGGTATAAAGCAATTCTAATCTCACTGTTTAAGGACAGACAAAGAGTGTATACACCTACGCCACTGTGATATATGCTGAGCCATGTTACCCAGAGTTTCCAACCATTGGTTACAATAGTCGCACAGACCCCAACCAAGTAGTCTGCATCCACCAACATGGCTAAAACTAGAAATCAGTGAGTTTGTAGACTGATATCACGTTTTGGTTTGGCCGTCTCTAACTGTCTTTCAACCATCCCAACAATAGTCAGCATTGCGTCATAGTAATCTATCTTCAGGCATACGTAACACGTGGCCCAAACATCTCAGTCGGTGAAGATTTACAACCTCATCAACAGATTTGCCATTATTCTCTAATACCCTGCATCTAATCTTACCCGGTGAACCCAGCAGGTGCGAGCTATATTTCTAAGACATCTGTGATCAAATTCTAGTAGCTTACGAGTATCTTCTACTCATAATGGCCACGTTTCACGGCCGTAAAATAGAACAGAACGAACTTCCGCTCAGTATACTTATTCTTTTATTGATGGACGGATATATTGACTTTGCCATAGGTGACATAAGTTGGCAAAAGCCAGTCGATAAGTGGACCTCTTGGTAGATCAATGCCCGAGAATTCAGTCGATGAGTGTTATTTCCATCAGTAGATCTATGATGAAGTTAAACAAAAATGAAGTGGACAGCCTTGACGGACACCATTTGAGGTTGCAAAACCAGATGACAGTTCGCCATAAGCTCTGACTCGACTAGTAGTGTTCGAGTAAAGAGCCTTCACAAGGTTTATGTACTTCTGAGGTACGCCTTTCAATGACGGACACTGCCACAGAACCTCTGGGTCTACAGAGTCAAATGCTGCTCTTAGGTCTAGAAAAACTATAATTGTCGGACGCCGATGAGCATGTCTGTGTTGTGAGATCTGACGAATGGTGAATATGTGGTCGATGCAGCCCCGACCAGGTCTGAAGCCAGCCTGATTTTCCCGTGTTTACAGTTCACGAGTCTTAGTTAGGCTCCGGGAATTATTGAGGCTAGTATTTTAGATGCTATATTAGTCAAACTAATCCCTTTTTGGTTTTCACAGGATGATTTTGACCCCTTCTTATGTATTGGTAGAATCAGTTATTGCGACCAGTCAGATGGGATTACGCCCAACTCCCAGATTTGAACTAAAATATTGGTCAACCTAATCGCTAAAACTAGACCACCATCTTTAAAGACTTCTGGAGCCAATACATTTGGATCAGCTGCTCTTTCTCGTTTCAGATTAGCTATAGCTTTTTGGACTTCAATTAGAGTCGGGGGGGGGGGCTGTTTCAATATTCTGTGCAGGCTGTTTGGGAATGGTGGGTAGTTGTAGAGCAGCTGAAGGCTAGCTGAACTGTTCCTAAAGTGTTTCGCCCACCGTTCTAAACTTCAGGGCTGAGAAACGGATTGTGACAATATTTAAGATGCGTTTTTTCATCTTCTGAATGCAAAATGTACCTTTACAAGTGGTTTGGTACACATGTTTGAATGTTATTTAAGGAAATCAAGATAATTGAAGATATTGTCAGTTATATGGTGATGTGTAGGACCTGGCACATGTTTGGTTACGATAAGTGTAGTTCTAAGCCAAGCATATAAATCTGTATTTGGTAGTTGAATTACATCAATTAATTAGGACTCGATTAGATTATTCTTCATAACTTGAAATTGCTCTATATGTATATGTATCTAATTTCGGATTATCATTAGGTTGCTTTTGTGTCGTTTTACATAACTCTCTCATTGTTTACAATATTCGAGAAATAAAATTCGTTAAGAAGAGATTTGACTTTTAATGTTATCATAGGAACTATAAAATAATATGTTAATTTCCCTATAAAAAACCTTGTGAAAACTAATTTCATACATATTTTCATTTTAGGCAATTATGAGCTTCATTCTGGGAGGTCCAAGACCTGATGTAAGTTTTAATGATTTTCAATGAGTGTTTTTTTTTAAAAATGACTATAGTTTAGTCGGACAGGTTTTGTGGAAATGGCTCTTTCGAAGATTGTGTTTGTCACAGATTGATATCAGTTGAAGTACCATTGAAATCTCCGTGGTTCTGTGTTTATTAAGCATACACTTCATGACCTGAAGGTTCTAGGTTCTATCTTCGGTAGGGTCGTGGTTGGATAGTGCGAAGTCTAATCCTAGAACGAGACACATGTCAAGTCCTTCCTGTTTATGGTTTGAGTTTAATCTATGACAAAACAATCTACAAATAATAATAACAATAATAGTAGAATAAGAAATAAATGTTTAAAATAGACATGTTTTACAGAAATTTCTTTCAGAGATCTTTATGCTCAAGTCGTAGTTCATCAGTTGCCATATCCGACAGTTGCGTTTACTACTCAGTTAATCAACTGATTTTTCTGTTTAACACATATTTCGTGCTACCGGTTAAATAATCTAACTTCAACCTTCGCATTTCCCACGTAATATAAATTGCAACATGTTATTTTATTGTAATACAGTTTACCATTCGGTTTTGACCCTAACTTAATGTATTACGATGCTTAATAATGTCATCCAAGTACTTAAATCTGAAGTAGGTAGAACAAATTGGAAACTATCTACGTAAATCATTATCAGCGAAGTCTGTAAAGTGACATCAAAGTGGTGGCAAGTTTGATTCCATTGGAATGCCGTAACGTGTTTCTTTACTATTATTAATAATAATTATTATTATTGTGATTACCATTATTATCTTTTGATCATCCCCTTTAAAATACCAATTGATTAGTATTATGAGTAAAGCCCTTAAATGTCCGAGTATCTATGTTCCGTGTCAGCATGTGACGCTAGATGAAGTCATTTTCGTCTGCCATAGAATTTTTACCATTTCTGTGAATGGTTGTAACTATAATTTCTGTTAAATTATTTCTAAAATCAAAGTATATCTATTGCGAATACGTTCATATACTTAAAATTTAAATTTACTGATCTCTGTAATTTATGTTGTCAATATGGTAAGATATAAATGTATTGTATGATGTTTAAGTAATGTTTTTGGCGGCGTTTCCTTCTCTGAACTAGATGGTTCAAATCTGAAGTTTTCATTGTTCTTCTAAGTAATATCATTAGCACTAATTTCAGGTAAAAATGAGTTATTCGAATTTATTCACATCTGACTGACAGCTTGTCCTACAGACCTTGATCTTGAAAGATTATTGTTACATATTGTTTGTATATTTGTTTATTTTTGCCTGGTTGAGGTCAAAGGGCAGGAGATAATATCTAATTACGTTCAATACCGGATGGTCAAGCTATCAGTCATGTGTGGAGAAATTCGAACAACTCACTTCTGCCTCAAGTATTTAGTCATAATGTTGTTCAAAAGAACGATCAAAGCTTCATAAATAAACCATCCACCTTATAGGACGATATTCTACAAAATTCATTCATCTGAGCTACAAATCTTCCCCACCTGCTATGTGAGGTATTTATAAGTCCCACATACCTGTTACATGTAAATAATAATGCTTAGGTTTGCAAATGGTATTTATAAAATAAATTAGCATTATCATTGTTTTATCAACCTCAAATCAAAAATGTGCCTTTTATATCTAAAAAACGTGATATAACTTGAATTTTCCAACAATTACCAAAGTAAATTTACTTATTCGACATTATGAAGAACAAAAGCAACTTGATATTCAAATAAACATTTTCTGCACTGAACAAATGCAGATGAAGACAACTAGTGCAGCAACAGCATCAGTAGACCTAGACATACACAAAGGAAAAATTCAAGATCCCCCAATACAACACGGAGAATACCGACCCAACCACACTTGATGGCGAAACTCTGGAAGATATAGAATCCTTCACGTACCTTGGAAGCATCACCAATGAACAAGGGGGATCAGTTGCAGACATAAAGGCGAGGATTAGCAAAGCAAGGGCCGCATTCTTACAATTGAAGAACATATAAAACTCAGAACAACTATCTATCGACCAATATCAAAGTCAGAATCTTCAATAGGAACGTCAAGACAGTTCTACTGTATGCAGCTGAAAGGTAGAGAACTATTACAACCATCATCAAAATGGTATAAGTATTTATAAATAGTTGTCTACGCAAGATACTCAACATCCATTGGCCGGTTACCATCAACAGCAGCCTACTGTGGGAGAGAAAAAAACAAGCTTGATTTTAAGAAAAAATTAGGAGAAGACGATGGAAATGGATAACACATACATTACGGAAATCACCAAACTGCATCACGAGGCAAGCATTAACTTGGAATCGTGAAGGGAAGCGGAAATGAGGAATCCCAAAGGACACATTACGTCGGAAAATAGAAGCAGATATGAAAAGGATGAATAACAACTGGGAAGAGTTGAAAAGGACTGCCCAAAACAGTGTTGGATGGAGAGTGTTGGTGAGCGGCCTATGTTCCTTCACAAGACGTAACTGGCGTAAGTAAGCACTAAAGTCATGAAATTTCAATGATCTCACAAACAAAACTAAACATTCTTAATAACTATTTGATCTCTTACTTCTTTCTTTTTTTTCTCGGAATTTTAATGATATATTGAGTTTACAATAATGCTCTCATCATAAAATATTAAAATAGACAGGGTAATTAAACAATAAGTTGAATATCTTCAAACAAGTTTATTCACTTAATGATCAGTTGTTTTATGAATTCTATAACCTCTCAACTAAAAGTCGAAGTCATTAAATCATGTAATGAAATAAAAGAAGAAATACTGTTTGTATTACTCGTACAATGTTTTTTTTTAATACGACATCACCAAATATAAGTGGTAACATTAGGTGATTATGAAATATCTAAATGATGTGTATATAAAATCAAACAAACAACTAAATGTACAAATAATTAACAATGAACAATATGTAGAAGAACATCTGTAATTCAAAACAACTGTCAACCAGCACTAAGGTCAGGATTTTCCATACAAATGTCAAGACAGTTCTACTGTATGGGGCGGAAACCTGAACTACGAAAGCCATCATCCAAAAGATACAACTGTTTGTTAACAGTTGTCTACACAGAATACTTCGGATCCTTTGGCCAGTCACTATTAACAACAACCTACTATGTGAGAGAATAAACCAAATCCCAGCGAAGGAAGAAATCAGGGAGAAGCGCTGGAGTTCGATAGGACACACATTGAAGAAAGCACCCGACTGCGTCACAAGACAAGCCTTCACATGGAATCCTCAAGACCAAAGGAAAAGAGGAAGACAAAAAAAACACATTACGGCGAGAAATGGAGACAGACATGAGAAAAATTTACAAAATTAGATAGAACTGGAAAAGAAGGTTGAGGATAGAGTGAGTTGGAGAATGCTGATCGGCGGCCTATATTCGATTGGGAGTAACAGGCGTAAGTAAGTAAGTAAGTAAGTAAGATAGAATAAATTGAGCTTAAAGATCAGTTGAAAAAAAAAAAGAGAAAACATCCAAAGAGTACAAAGAAAAAATTCATTTAAGGCAGAGGAACATATTCTAAATATAGACAAATTATAAACAGTAAGTTGTAGTAATAATGGTCAAAGCTAAAATTAAAAAAAAAAAACAAAGGTCAAAATTTATCTAATAAATAGTTTAAAGCTTTAATTATTGTTCTATAAAGAAATGAAGAACAAAGAAAAATAGAAACATTTGATTGTTTAACTATAAACAGGCTGTAATTTAATACATTAAGGCTATATAAATGATAGAACGATGGGATATTTAAGGAAATTTATTATTCGGAAGATTGTTTTAATTGTCTTCATATTTCTTTTCAATTTAAGAAATAATTATCTAAAGAAAAAAACAAACATTCACTTCTACTAGAGCATATTCATACAGGATAATTAAAACTTCTATATTTAATTCACTAAAGATAGCATTGCTAACATGGACTTGAAATTCATGGTGACATCCTTAATACTGCTAAACAAGATTTTATGAATACAAAGTAGGAGAAATATATAATCTGAGTTGATAGCAGCTCTGTTATGACGGCATTTTCTAAGAATAGACTTGTTCTTAATAAATAATATAAGAAGAAACTAGATAAATGACTAAAGTGGCTTAGATACAACATTATGACTATTTCGGAATGATATATATCGTGTATTATTATTATTATATGTATGATTTATTTATCTTCAAGTCAGTGAACCAACTCTACATGTCGTCTGATGGTAACCGATAATTAAGAACGGGTTCATATCCTGTTTGCCCCCTAGGGATTCTGGAGTCCACGTTCTCTGTTGGTTTAAAATCAGGGTTTGCCAACTTCTCGAAACCTTAATTCAGTCCTCCGTACCCACCAACCCGATTAAAGCGTCGGACATTCGCTTTTTGTCCTCTCGATCTCGTAAACAACACCTGTGATGCGAGAAGGTAATGACTAAGACTTCTGTGACAGTGGCTATATTCACATGACTATATGAAGGTATTTCAAGGAGAGCAGACTCTCTTCACCTTCAACTGTACCATAGCATTCGGATGTCCTGTAGTATATATGAATTAGAAACCAGTGTTTCTTAATAGGCGAACATTAATGCTATAATTATGGATAAACAGTATAGCGAAAGATGATTCCATTCCATTCAGTTATAAGATACCTGTATTCATTTTCTTCAAAGCAGTAAAATTTCTTTCTTAAAATAATTGCCACTTTTCTAGTTTGACTTATTATTTATTCATTTTCATGCTTCAATTATGAAATTAATACCATTTTTAGTTCCTTCTTTTCTTTATTCAAATAAATGACCTTTAATGGTGAGGATTTTTTTCTCTTCCTAGTTTCTAATCTTATTGTTAAAACTCATGGTCTTTTATTTATTTGGACATGTGCTTTTGGATATATATATATATATATATATACCGCCGGGGACGGAAATCCGTGAGGTAAGGTGAGGTGTGGCAATTTTAGAGTCGACCTTTT